TCATCCAGATCATTGATAAAGATATTGAACATGTCACTAAGAGCAGAGAAGGGGATAACCCAGGGAGACCAAGAGGCAGGAAATGTGTGAACTGCCATTGGGACTGGGCAAAAAGCCCTGATGTGCAGCCTGTGTTCTCCCGACTGGGAACACTCCATCCACTGCAGTTCTATGCTTCTAAGGCTGAAACAACGCAGAGAAGAGAGAAGGAAATTTCAGGTGATCACAAGTAATAGGAACTCTGTTTCAAAGTAGACAGGTAACCCAAGAAAGGTGAATATGTATGAAGACAGAGACTGGAAAAGACACATAAAGAATTGGGAGGAAAATTGCAATTAGTAAGAAGAGGTTTTATCAAATGCCTTCAAAAATTATGAGTGAACGAACAGCAACTACACTACTATCTAATAACAGGGGATAACACAAGAGATATGACACTAGCCCTAAATATGCAAACTCTGGATCCATATGTACCACAGAGGCTGACTTTGGTTTGGGTTGGGTTAACAAGAAGCAGTGTCCAAAAAGGAGAGAATTGTGCTGGCAGATGGTTCATTGTCCTCCTCCTATTATTCCCTCTGCTATCTGGAACTGAAGTAACTAATTAAAGTCAATTAGATACAATGTATGCCTCAATGCAAGAGGAAGCAGGAAGACAGTTTTACTTCATAGTATTTCAAATAGTAATCTTATTTCTAAGATTCTTATTTCTAAGAATTAGAAGATAAAAAGCTCTTGCGATGTGGTGCTCATAGATATACATACGTTTTGATCATTATCAGAAATGGTTTGTGTAGGTATGGCAGGTGGAACTTTCATTGCTTTTGAAATAGACAATATACTGAAAAACACAAACATATCACAGGGAAAAAAAAGATATACAGCTGAATACAAGGGCAGCTCTCTGCAAAAGCTATTTCATACAGTGTCACACAGCAATCAAGGATCCTGCCAACTCTTGAAGTGACAATAAGCTACCACAGAGACAACACAATCTGCTCATAGATTCATTTCCCTTCCTCCTAAAGCCCAGTGCTGCTTTAGAAAACAAAACTGCTGTGTGGTGAACTTAATCAAATGCTACTGGGCAGAAGATTTTTGTTGTTCTTTTTCCCCCTATTCCTACTAAGAATGGGAGCCTGCAGTGACCTAAGGCTGGCAAGTACCATTGGATCCTTAGGTGGTCATAGTGAGCAGTTGCAGCCAAAAAGAAAATGATCATCAGAATTTTACTGTTGCCACTGGAAATGACAGTACTTCTCTTTTCTAAACAGAAGAGAGAGAGAATTAGTAACAGCCTGTTCCTCCAATTTCTCTTTCAAGAACAACTTTTTTTTAAGTCTCAGATTCTATAGCTGGGGGGAGAGAGTTGAGCAAGGGGGAGGTTTATTATTATTTTGGTGCATCGCATTAAATGGAAGGCAGAAGAACACAGGAAATAGTATCTATTGCAATCTGAGGCTTAAACATATTCGATAGTATATTCAACAGCTTTGCCTGTCTCACAGCCCCGGGCAAAAACATGCCCCTTTCCCTGCTGTTTCTTCATTTCATGCTATAATGCTTCCAATTCTCCTTTTAAAAAGAATTACGTACATCATCTACCTGTTGCACAGAATCTCCTTCCTATGGCCACTCATAACCTTTGCAGATGTTGCTCCATCATTATCAGTAAAAGCTTGAGTCATTTGGTTCAGGGAGGAAATAGCACCTGGGAAAAGTGCCTCGATGATGAATTAAAAAAAGGTGGCAAATTCTTCTTGCTAAATACTATCTAAAAGGATGGTGGGGAGCTGGAATAAAAACTGAAGGAAACAATATGCAGGACAAAGTTTTCTAGATTTGATTTTTTTGTTTGTTTTATTTTTTTATTATGCTGCATGGTTTTGTCTTCACGGTTTCATTTAATTCATCAAATACAGTTCTGTTTAGCCCATCTGCATCTCTGAATGTGTCCTCTTGACATTACCTTCTTGACGTTCCTCTACCATTTCAGACTGATGAAACTTCAAATGTCTCAGCTTTTCTTCCCCATTCCTGCTAACCACTCCTTTCTCCTATCCTCATGCAAAAAGCACTTCCCTTTCTTCTCTTAATTTACTGAACAATCACATTTTTTTCTCATGCCAGGTCCTTCCTGACAGTCCCCTTTATGACAATTTGTAGAATTCAAATGAATGTGGAAAACACACAGACTGCTTCAGGACCACCTCAGAATTTTATGACTGCAGAACCGGTCCTTTCCCTGATGTCAAAGTATTAAGCTCACCTAAGTTTAACTACTCACGGATGTGATCCCAACACTGGCTGAGTACCACTACTCCCACAGAGCTCACACTTTCTGTGCATCCTCATCAATTATCAAAGGTCAAAGACCAGGTCAGGACAAAATCCCTCACGTTGCTTCCTTAACCAACCCCTCATATTCACGGGGTTTTCACCCACAAAACCATCTTTCTGACACGTACTAAATGTATTAAACAAACTACATGAAAATATCAGGATCCTGAAACAAGAACCCTTTGAGAAAAGAGATGCACATTTACAAAAGGATTTAAAAAAAAATTTCATTTCTCATACACTGAGCAAAAAGATGCAGAAACTAGACAGGGAGAATCCCACAACCAGCAAGGACACTGACAAGTTACTAAGCATTGCCATCCCAATGGGATTGTGCAGGCTCATCCCTGGATAACACAAAGCACTGCTCAACAGTCTGACTTCGAATGATGAAGATTCATACCTCATGGACTTTTCTGCACAGAGATGTGCTGCATTAAATCCTGGGATGAAACATATTCCTCAAAATGAAAACATGGAAAATTCCTGCTAAATGCCAAGTCTGAAGCAGCCATGATTCAAAGGGACAACTTGAGCAGAACAGGTGCCAAGGATGTCTGTTCTCTGGATTGATTTACAAACTAAGATTCTTCTAAACCATTAGACGTTCCCCCTGTCTCACGTGAGCAGACAGTGAGTCGAGTTCAATGTATCTCATCACCATCTGGAAACTCTACAGGCAAGGATTCTCATCACCATCTGGAAACTCTACAGGCAGAGTAGAGTCAATCTTCTCTATTGAGTTTTTGAATAGAATTAGTTTTCATCCAGCTGAAATCTTTGTTCTGAAGCTGTACAATCCCTGCTCTTTCCTTCATAACTCAGGTTTATGCCTTTTCCATGTGGTTTTGATATACTCGTAGAACTGGAGACCGAGGAAAAAACAGCCTAATGCCTCAAGGAAAGGACCCCCAAGGTAAGAACTCACACAAAATATTATTCTCAACATCACCAGGTACTGTGTTCTGCATCGTTGCTCTTCTTAGCTATGACCTTTCATAAATGATATCAGATGGTGTTTGCCTTATCCAATACCCTGTACTATTGTTCAAGGCATGCATGCATATACATAACATTAATTTCTCTAGCCTATTAATAAAAGCAGAAGAAAATAACAATGGCAAATTGGGTACAGATTTATACTGATCTGTTTCTGCAGTCTACTTTCCTTTCTAAATTATATTTATGCATTTTCATTTCCAGTTTCTTTAAATATGAATATTACTGACTAATTATCTTGTTACTACGATGGACGCAATCCAAAAACCTAGATGAAAGTATGTCATAATTTCAGTTCTGGTTATGAATTTTGTGGTTTGAATCACAAGTGATTGAAGACTTTAACAAGCATGCCCAAGAAAACCTGACTGCAAATGAAGTTATCTTTATTTTATTTTCCCCATAAAGAGAAAGTTTAGCTCAGCATATTGCTCACAGAGATACACAAAGCACAACGGCTTGTTTTGGGCTGCTGCCATTCAGTTTCATGCTGCATCCCCATCTAGGGTCATTAATCTTTTACCACCAGGAACACAATTAATCATGGTATTTTCTTTTCAGAGGAAAAAGACAAAAATCATAGTAATTTTTAGAGAAAACACTGCAAGGTACTCCATCAGTAATAGTCATTTTTCTTCTCAGTACACACTAATAGATTTGTTCACCGAAACCTGCTTGTCTTTACAGTATACAAAAATGCAGTAATCTAAAATACATATAACCAATAGAAAAAACACATGAAGAAGCAGTCTGCTTATCTGTGCTGCATAAGGCAATAAATGTCCCTTTACTGATAGCTGGACCATAAATAAAGAATGGATACGGTTGAGGAAAAGGTGTTTATGTTACTTTGGAGGTTATTTTCAGGTGGAAACATTTTTCCATCTAGCTCACAAAACAAAATCTTTGCCTAAACTATGATGCAAGTTTTGATTCAAAACTTATTAAAACGAAAAATCTTACCAACTTCACTGGCAGTTTTGCTTGAATTAGTGCATGTTACTTGTGGATATAAAAAAAATCTATGAAAGTATGTGAATCGATGCCATCCCTCACACCCAGCTTCACTCATCCTAGGTTAGAAATGCCCATTGCCAGTTGTATAAAAATCTCACTCATACTGTTCTCAGCCTTTTAGGACTGAGAACTTACTTGAGCTCAGCTCTCATTAAAGTCAATAAGAGTTCTGCCTGAATACAAATGATGATCCATCCACCTTCCACCCCTTCAAAATATGACACTTGCCACATGGATTCATATACATAGTCATTGTTTTCTTTAGACATTTTATAACCTTGTAATTCTTTTAAAATTAAATGTCACAAGCTTTTCTCTTTTTTCTTTGTTTTTAAGAGACACGCAGAAGACAGCTATAGACTGCCCCCTTTTTTTGTTCTTTTTTTTTTTTTTTTTAATCCATAAGGTATTTGGCTTTCTGGAGAATTTCTTTTTCTTCCTAGCTTTTGAATTTTTTTTTTTTTTTTTAATCCATAAGGTAATTGGCTTTCTGGAGAACTAACTGAATTTTCCAAATTTAATTTTAAAAGATGCTCCATAATATCCATTATAGCAAACACTGTCCTGCAGATTTGATTAGTAGGCTCTCTGGACCTGCTTATTTCTGAATTGAAAGTGCAGTACAGCCTGGATAAATGAATTACCTGAGCAGCGGAACTTCTTGCTCTTGATCTGGCTGATTCGTTTGTTGGCAAGGCGACGCGGATTGCTGCATCGAGCGCCGCTGGTTTCTATCGGATTATCCTGCAGGTAATCAGCCAGCCACTTCAAATGGCAGTCGCACACAAATGGATTCTGAGCTAAATGTCTGCGAGAAGGATGGGATGTTTAATCAGAAGTGACCTGTGACACTGTACTCCATCACTGTGTTTCACAAACGCAAACCTGAAGAGTAGAGTAATTGAATAAGCTTCCAAAAACCCAGGCCTGGCGGAAACCACACGAGCTGCACATGAATGGGAGAATTCTGTGAGCTATCACATTTCGTAGCTCATTAAGCCTGCTCAAGTCCTTTCACAGAGGAAACAAAAATTAATATACCAAAGCCTGCTTTAAAGGACACAGACCTCCTGTCTACAAAGTCCAATGTTTTCTCTTGAGGGCTTGATATGCTGCGTTTTGAGAGAAATGCACCTTTTTAGATGCACCTGACCTGAAGATCATTTTGTATCCTGGTTTAGAAGAAATTTTATTGGCAAGCTCAGTTTCCTAGGGATCAAAATGGGAATTAGTTAAGTGCCTTGGATCTGTGGGCAAAGCCAGAAGTGATCCAGAGGCCATCTCTCAAGAGTAAAACTGATATTTGCGTATACTTATCATTGTAATAGTATTCCCCTTATATGTATTTTTTCCTGGACCAAAAATTTTTACTTTTGAGACTAAACTGTTTATGCAAGGTAGAACTTGACTCTATCCTTCCCCAAAATTTGCACAACATACTTCCCACACAATTGGAAATAGATATTGTAGCATTGATTTTAACTGGATATTTAGACTTTGTTAATAGAAATCTGCTGGAGTATCTTAGAGAGAAACAGTATCTCTCTGCTGCTGTTATGATTCATTCTGCTTGACAAAGTTGAGCACTATATCAGGAGAGTTTGTCAGGTCTTTCTCAGAGCCTGATTCTGATCTCAGCTAAGTTAACTTGCACCAGTCCCTCTAACTTCTAAGGGAGCAGGACATGGCTCTCCAATAACTGCAAAGACAGTTTAAAAAAAGACAGATGTTTAAATTTAGTTTGGACAGAGGTGTAAAGTTATATCCTCACAAGAACTCTGCTCTGTTACTGTTAGTGTATTTTTTCCACCTGTAGAAACTTCTTTTCTTTTCTGTTTGCAGTTATATTTATGAACTGTCACTTAACAGACTAAGTATAAAATACTACAGGGCAAGGGCTGTCAAGGAGAGGGAAGAGAAAGCATAGAAAGCAGAAAGTGCCTGAAGAAACTAAAGATTACTGTTGTAGTAGAGCCATTCCTGGTGTGAACAGTCCAAAGAACAAACAAGCATATAGAGACAGGATATGGGACTGGTTTTGTAGCTCTAGAAAAAAGGCAGAAAATGACAATCACTTGGAGTACTAAAAATGGGAGAATGAATCAAAACATTTCATGAAAAAGTGTCTCAGTGTGAAGCAACAAGTCCATTCTAAGTCATGGCCACTAGGAGTACCAATAAAACCCCATGGAAACCAAGGAGAAATTTTTATAGCTTAAGGGTGTTGCCTGTTGTTTAACTTGACAAATCTTATATACCTCTGCAAACGAACCTTCTCTGTCACCCTTGTTTACATATTATATCTATGTACATATATAGCATGTTGCAGCAGAAGAAAGCATGGTAGAGGTGGGGGGGCAGCGCTGGGGGGGTTGTACATGATTATTCTAATGCCTTAATGATTTGAGCAATACATACTGGCCAGGTATCTGTTGGAAATTAAGGTTGTGCTTGTGGCTGCGCAGGTACATAGGACATAGCAGGTACCCTGCTGCTTGAAATCATCCCTATTAGTTCATTTTTATATGAATTAAAACATTTATAAAACTAATTTGGCCAATGCATTTCCAGTATTAAAAGATGTAGGTGCACGTGTATAGATACATTTCCAGTACTATAGTATGTGTATATATATATACACATATATAATGTGCATATATATTCCAGTATGTGTGTGTATATATACATACACATATATATGTTAATACTGGAAATGCATATACTTACACGCTACATAAACACAGAGCCTTGTATCTATATATGCACACACAAATATATATAAACACACATACACAATATTGGGTGAGGGGGTTCTTCCTTGTTTTTCATTTATATGAGGCTGCCAACTCCAGCTCTGAAGGAGTGTTATTTACCTTATTATCTTACTACTCACAGCTTTAGGATGAAACCTTCTTCTGTAAAATATTGAGTCATTTCTATACTTTTGCTTCCAATTTTGCTTCTGATCCCTCTTCTCCTAATGCCTCCAATTCAAAGACTCTCAGAAAACGTTTAGTGGATTTTCTTAATGGATCAAATGGATCAAAAATCAATGTATCAGTTCCCTTAAGTGGAATGTCAGCTGAAATATGGTTTCAGAAGTCACGAACTGTACAGCAGGACTCGGACCCAGTAAGGAGAGATGCCAACTCGCTAGCTCATTAAAAACTGTTAAGCAATGGTTTTAATAGAATCTGCTGTTCATATATTGTACAGAGTCACATTTATGTATTATCTTCCCAACAAACAGTATGAATGAATTACTCTGGGAGCTTAATACACTTATGACATTTATGTCACTATGGACAGACTGTATCGATAGCTGGCTGTGCTGAATTTGTGCAATACTTCTTTATCTTTCTCCTTTTATTTCTGTCAGAAAAGGAGGGGCTACTACCTTGGGGTCTCTTACAAATTGTCTTAATGTCAGATGCAAAGCCTTTGCAAAGACAGACAACATCTTTGGGGGAAAAAGAGAGAGCTGACATTTACGATATGCCTGCATACTCACAGAGTCTGGATTGATCGGAGAGGTGCAAAGAGCCCTTTGCTGATGGTCTGCAGTTTGTTGTCATAAAGAGATAGCAGTTTGAGATTATGCAGACCTTGGAACGTGTTTACCCTCAGGCAGTTGATCTTATTGGCATTGAGAAGCCTGAAAACAGAGGAAAGGTTTATAATTCATTAATCTTGTAATAATCAAATAAAGATAGACTGAACTTTGGGGTTAAATCTAAAAAAACATTAACCCAGTCATCAAAGCCAGTCCACATTTGCCTGTTACATTTAAAAGGTGAAAAAACCACAGTCAACATTAGTACTCTAATAGCTGGGGAATATACAGATATATAACAGTGCTAGCTATCTTAAAATACTTAAAAGTTTTTTTTTTTTTTGTTATGCCCAGCTCCCTCCCCCCATTTGTTCCAAATTCTACACAAACATTTAAAGAAGTCTTCAGCTTAATATACATAGAAATGGCAAATACTCCCCACCTTGCTATTCCATGCACACACTCATACACAAAGTCCACAATGAGAAGAACCCTTTTTTTCAGTTTTCTCTACCAGCAGCTGTCTTAAGTCTAACTGAAATTCTGGAAGTTTGACATCTTTTGATAAGCAGTGCAGGGTTAATTTGATCATGGAAGCAAAGAAAACGTGATTCTCCTCAGAGACAAGAAGAGAGAAGTGTAGGGTCTGGACTAAAACTTACTGAAAGGCAAGCTCACTTCATACCTAAGGATAGTCAAGCAGTGGAACAGGTTGCTCAGTTGTGCAGTCTCCACTGGAGGTTTTCAAGATGATACCGAATAAAGCCATGAGCAACCTGCTCTGACCTAATAAGGTGACTCTGCTTTGAGCAAGGGTTCTCCAGTCTCACTGGCTAGTGACCACCTGAGGTCCCTTCCAACCTCCGTTGTCCTACAATTCTATGAATCTTCTCCATTCCAGTTACACCAGATTCCTGTGCAGTTGTGGAAAAGTAGCACAAAGGCAATTCACATCCTTTTTTTTTTTTTTTTTTATATTTTGCACATCTACACAGCAGCCAGTTGGCAGAAATAATCAGTTCAGCCAGAAAATCTTGGATAGTACTTGTGCAAGTTCTCTTAGATTATCCAGCCAGAGTTCTCTCACATATAACAAGAATATACAATCCCAACACAAGCTGGATCTCCCCCTGAGACAATCAAACACGAGAACACTTAAACTGCCATTGTGATCTGCATATGTGGTATTTTACACTTAGAAGGAAAATAGGCAGGAAATGACCTATTCTTCTTACAAAAGCCAAAATCCACATCTTTTGACTACTACCAGCCTCAGAAAAATAGTACATCGCAAACAATATATGCTGCTAACTCAGTTCTCCTGGTCACAAAATTCTTGCTACTTTGTCAGTGAGTTTGAAGGGCTTAATATTGCAACATTGTGGCTCTCTATGAGGCACCACACTAAGTTAGAAGACAAACGCGTTTATACATAAAAAGGAAAAGACATCCTCCATTCCTCAGCAAGCAAATATACCATCTTAAACACACCTCTAACAGCACAGGAAGCTTCCATTTTCAACAAACTTCACATAAACCACTACAGCCAACAGGGCAACCTATCAGGGAAGAAATGCATGCTTGATAGCTGCACATGATGCTTTTCTTTTGTTCCAAAAAATAGCTTCAGACGGTGCTTCCTCTCCATGGCACCCTGCCTTTGCATTGCTGAAACCTTTGGAATATTGTACACTCGTTACAGCTCTCTGCTCCTACTGTCATTTTGGCAGAGCCTCATTACTGCAGTAAATGGCTACAGTAATTGTGATATGTAAAAGATGGACACATACTTGGGTAGAGCCCTTTTCTCAAGGAGAACAGGAATGCAGTGCTTTGGAATGAGAGGGCGCCAGAGCAGAACTCACCTTTCTAGCCAACAGAAAAGTCAACATCGATTTACCTGAATTTTCTCCTTAATATGTCACAGAAAAAGAAGCTTGACATTAGATAAGAGAAAGTCCCATAGAAGGCAATGATGGATAAATGAGGTTACATTTTTGCGTGAACTAATAGCTAAAATAATTTTATGAAATATTAAGCAGCAGTAGTTTGATCCCTCTGTAACCTGTATTTCTGTGACTGATAATTATGTGACACCTAATCCACACTCCTGTTAACTCCACCAGAAGTAACAGGGTAATTTTCATATTAGGCTACAAGAACAGTTCCTCCCATGCATTGGACTTCCGAGATTTTGCTCCAGCAGCAAGCATCAGTGTCATCTCTTACTACTTGCTTCTTACCGCCATTTGTATGTCCAAGCCAAAGCAATCTTCATTCTCTCTTGGTTCTCGTGCATTATGCATTTCTCTTTCAAGCTTGTACATTATCTTTTCCATAAAGAACAGGTTAACAAGTCATTAGAAGGCAGAATCAGCTACTGAGTTTTGAACAATATCCCCAGATATTGTACAATATGCCACTTATGAACAGATATGTTCACAAGGACAGGGAGCAGAAACCAAAGGATTTGTCATGCCTAAGTGGCATTCACATATGAACAGACATGTTCAAATGCCACTACAAATCCTTTGGTTTCTACTCCCTGCCCCACATTAATGGTCCCACATTATTTTTAGGTAAGGCACATCAGCTTAGATCGGTTGTTCCATGACAGAGGCTTAGTACCTAAGTTATACAGGAAGAAAACTGAAAGCAAGTATGTACTTTGATTTATTTTGCTAGATGCTATTTTTTTCTAATATTATAGTAATATTTTATGTTGCAAGCAGTTCTTCTAAAAAAGCATAAAGCAAAAATGAAAATAACCTCAGTAATAAGAGAATTTACAACTGAACTACAGTTGTATTCGTATATGTGGACAACCAGCATGTCTTTTTGTGATTCTTAAGAAGTGCACACATAGCAGAGCTGCACTGTGCGGATGCTGTTCACTCCTGTGCGAAGAGTGGGCTTGAAGCCTAACCACCACTGAACCCACTTAATAAACCCTCAGAGCAAAGCTGACCTAGAACTGCAGTGAATACACAGGATTTGAATTCGTTCTCTGATTAGTTTCAACAAAACACGAATAAACCCAATACTGGAAACTAGAATTTACAATGTGGCAAGTTTTCCTGGCATGGATTTCCAATGACTAGATTCATGGTGATATAACCTGTGACATTTCTGTAAGAGCCAAATACCAAAAATGAGAGAAACTGACCCTATATACAGCCACAAACACAGAGGCACACTCTCTCCTTTAAGCATCAGAGAAAGTAATTTGGAACAGGAAAGTGCTTGTGCAGACTGTTTAGAAGTGGGAATTCAAGTACTACACAGCTTTTCTGAGGTGACAACACCTATTCTGTATATCATCTACACAATATATTTGCAGTACCTAAATCTAAGGAGGACAGATAGTGTGCTCAACAGTGATACAGATGTGGCCATATTCAGTGGATCATGAGATAGATTAATGTCCTATTTCTGATCAGAATCAGTGAGAAAAGGGGGGTGGTGGTGAAAAACTGTGAGAAAGCAGAATAAATCATCCCTAATTTTTTTTCCTCCCACTTACTGTGAGTTAGAGGATGACTTTTGGCCAGAAGCATTAAGGTTTATATTCCTTTCAAAACACGGTTATTTTAAAATATCCCCTCTATGGCTATTCCCCTATATAACTTCCAATTCCTTGTTTAACCTTTCTTCACTGTCACAGCCCCCCTAATGGCATCTCATTATTAATTAGGTATACAAGGCTGGCCTCACATGGAGTTAAAAGTGATTATAAGAAATTTTTTTTTAAACTAACACAAAGGCAGATGAGAAAAACATATTCTAGGAAGCAGAAACACTGATCTTCCTTAAACACTGAACCATGCTGTAAAACATACTAAGGGCTCCTTTTCATTGGACACACACCAAAAGAAGGGACAATATTAAAAGTTAAGTCTTATTTAAAAAGAATTACATGGCATTTATTTTGCACCAATATATAGTGAAAGTAAATTCCACTAATTTTCCTATTTTGTTATCAGCTTGATTGGATGAGATTTACACACGGCCTCCAGATGTGGTGCAGCATTCAAAAGCAGGTTAAAAATTCAAGTAGAAATAAAACCGCCTGCTATCCAGAGGGATGATGGGTTATTAACTCAAGTCTCCATTTTCATCCCTCTGGATATGTTAAAAACATGAAGAAATCTCTTGCAAGCCTAGGACCACCACAGAATACAGGAGAACGGTTAAAGACCTTGTGGTTTACACCCTATTGAAAGCAACGAGCAGAGCAGAGCAGTATTACAATTCCATGAAGCCATTTCCTGAAAAAGTGGATTTGTCAACACACAGTGAAATAATAACGTGTTTCAGCTAAGCCCTTTGAATGAATGTGTAGTGAATTGGCACTGTAATTGTATCAGATGCTCGTAAGCACCATCTGCATAATTAAGATGGTCCCATAATTGAATTATATGCCCAAGCACAGTTTCAAGTGATTAACATTTAAATAACATTTTGAACTCCAAACCCAAAATGATTGAAAAAATTGTTTGTTAAGAGCAAATGGGGATGTTTATACGGCTTTTACCCTTAGCAATGTTTTATTTTCAGCTCAGCGACATCAAGTAATCAAACTATCAGCAAATAACTATGTAACTCGAGAATGAGACAGCAGCCTAGCAACCTTAACACATGCTGGAGACTGCAGGTTGATTTCTGTTGCTACAGGATGGACCAGAAATCATCCTACATTAATGAGCCAAAAGGAAAGCGTCAGGGAGAAAAGCTGCACAGAGCCACTGGAAAACTTCTCTTTCTTTTTCACTAGCTTTGTGTTTTGACAGCGACGACAACATGATGAGAATGAAAATGTTCTGCATCCCATGAACTGGCTGGCACATCCCACGTGCCAGACTCCACTGGGGAAAATGAGAACTCACCAGAAAAAGGCAGATGTAAAATGCATAGGAGACTTGTAAGGAAGAGGAGAACTGGGTAACAGTTTTGCATGGGTAACAGCAGAACACGAATATACATGACTTTATAGAATATCAAAGGCTTCACCTACATTCAAAGGCACTATATGGCAGCAAAGAAAGGACTCTTGGCAGAAGCATTCCTTAGGATATACAATACCTGTTACAAAAAGTCAAAAA